AAAAATTATGACATGAAAATTAAGGAGAAATAGTCAGTTTCTGTTGCATGATAGCTTAATAATAATATTTAATCTTGATAATTATAACTTGCTTATAATCAGTAATAATAATAATGATGTTTTTATAATTGCTGTCTTCAATTATAAAAGCAGAATCGACGTCCATCCTAACGATTTTGCTCGTCAAATGTACTCAGAAGTTTAGCCCATCGACTGAGGCGAAATTAGAAGATTGCATATTTAATTTTAATTTCTTATAAAAATTACAACTTTTGTGCGAGTTTAATTAAATTATTTAGCGATATTTTTCAAGCACCGGATTGTCAGTAAAATTTTACTAACTGGGTTAACTCTTAAACTTATAAATTGACTGATAAAAAAGCACTATAAAGTATTCTATTTCTTCACTACAATTATCGTGGAATACAAGTTTCGATTTTCCAGAGAGACGCATTTTCCCATCCCAAATCGTCTTTTGCTCCACCGGTAATGGATTAATTTCACTTTCCGAATATTCTCGTTGTTTCCACACCCCGCAAACTTTACACCCTCGAACTTTTAATAACCCGACGTGTTAAAGTGCGAGCTTTTCACAACGAAGAAAGCTCTGATCGTGATAAAGATTTGATTAGTGGAAGAGATAATTCGAAATTTGAAGTAAAGATTATTTATTGGTTTATTGTTATATACCAATAAGAATAGTAATGAAGAATATAAAAATCGGTGTTAAAAAATCAGCTTTTAATGAATATCCTAATAAAATGGCTTAGGTGATTATAGGAGATTTAGGAGTTAGTTGTAACAGGGGTAATTATAGTAACAGGCGTTTTACAATACACTTTGTGTTACGTAGTTATAGAATTTATTAAAACTCTCCTTCGATAATTCAGGTTGTTGGGTTATAATTTAACCCTTGTAGCTGTGGACTGTATTAAACACAGATTTGTTTGTATATTATGTATTTGTTGCAGTTCTAATTACAATCACTGATTTGTTACTAAGTTATAATAAAAGAAGATATATTCATTGTTATTGGTTATTTACATGTTGTTAAGCGGTCTTTACTTTTTGAAGTGAAAAACTAGTCAATTAAAACACTCCGCTACCCCCTCTACCAGGGGTAGCAACCATTCCGTGTAAAACTTAATGCCCTGAAGTTTGTCACCTTCATGGCTAATATAATAAAACGAAAAGACGTCCGAACAGTCTTAAACAAATACAATATATAAAATTTTTGTGAAAAACTAAAAATAATTTTATTTTATTTAAACTTTCCTTAAAAAATTACAATAAATTTAAGACAAGAATGAATTCAGACACTTGTACAAATACCTCAAATAGCAATTGAAATTTTTATGATAATTTTCATAATAATATCGCGGTATAATAGATTATATAAATTAGTTTATCTTACTTTAAATCGAATGTTACACATATCTTAGTAGGTACTTTACTACTTTTTGAAGTGTTTTGCAAATTGACAATTTTACCTAAGTAAGAGTAGATACTCAATTGAAGTATGGTAAACAAATATTATCTTTTGTTCGGATATAATATCTTTATAATTAGTCAATATACACGCACTTAAAAATTTGAATTATTGCATTTATCTTTAAGTTGTTCTTAGTTTTATTGCATGATTTATCAGTTATCAGATATGTAAGCACTACATTTGGAAATGACATAGTACTATCATTTATTACTTGTAAATGATAGTTTTTATAATATTTTCTGCTGAGCACATCTCATCTAGATATGTTTGAATTAATTTTACAAAAAGAAATAATTTATTTTTTCTAAAAAAATTTCTTTGTGCGTAATCACTACTTACCAATATTGCAAATTTCTTGTAAATCAGAAAACTAATAAATATTTTAATTTTGTTGGATTAGTAACATGTCAAATGTTTATTCTATAAATACTCTAAATCAAATTTAAATATAGAATTGAGCCATTAACCTATCTGTTATTACAATTTATCATTATAAATTCTAATTAGTGCAATTACCAAGTATGTAATTCTAGCGATTGCATGATCAAACATCTGTCCCATTATAAAATAATCATTCGTAGCTTCCCACTTAAAACTCGATTTCTTAGTAAAGATTTCCAATGGCATTTTCTTCATGAATGTTTTAAACATGTAGAATCGTGACATATTATACTTTTTGTATGATGCGGCGCGTGTCGTCCTTTGAGGTAACCTGTAACCCATTTGCATTGCAATGCATTGGGAAAAGATATTTTAGAGATGGATATTTTAGGTATAGAACAATGAGAATACATATAATGTAAGTTTTGAGATTTTACTAAAATTAATGGTACATTTATTGAAAAATCTACAAAGACAAAAAAAGACCGAATATTTTAAATTAAGTCTCAGAAAGGGTCGTGAAGTGTTATTACTTTTTCGGTAGGCGGCTGTACTCTGATAGATTTCTCGTGAAGTATTGACCAAACAATTTCAAATTTATGCTCGTTGGAAAGGTGACATTTTTATTTTTTGCAACTTTAAATAATTCTTATAATTAAATCATTGCTCAAAGGCCTATGATATTGTAAACTCTTCGGTTTTATCATCAACTTTATCACCATGCAAAGTTTTATCAAAATTCCAGATGAGTAAACCTGAAGTTCCTCTTGTGAGAAAATTTAACACAAATTCAAGAAATTTAGATTATTTATCTTTTTGTTTATTTTTTTAGATTTTTCCATATGTCTTTTTCTAAATGTCCTTTCTAGAAGCCTTGTATAAAGCAGCCCTCATAAATTATAACTTATAGTGTTACGTAATACTTTCTACCCTCATGCTCAGTAATTTATGTCGCAGTGTTCATGGTCTGACCTGCAGGTCGCTGAATTGGCTATGATTTTGTGATTGAATTGTACCTACTGTAAAGGCAAGGGTTGGGAAAAAGATAGACACTGTAATTTATCTAACCGAATTTCTTAGACAAACATTTTGGTACTAAGTTTTATCTTTATGGAAAAGTCTATTAGTTTTGATACAAGATAGGTGCTATTGTTATTTAGACAGTTTAACTAAAATAGGAATGTTGCTAACTTTCATTTTAGTAAAATTAAATTTTACGTAAAATCAGTTCATTTTGGTACAAATAAGATAATTAATGTAACGGAAATATTTTGATAATTTGAGCAAATTTATTGTTACTATTCTAAACTTTATTACATTTATTTTTGAAAAAAAATACTGCCGCGTACAGAGTTTCGTATTAATATATAAATTTTCACTAAAGAAATTTTAGTTTGGGATATTTCATTTAGCAAAATTCAATCTTCATTTAATTTCAGTAGTAGTTCAATATAATCTTTCTCCATATATCAATTACCTAGAGGTGGGCGAATAAAGCTGTTAAATTCCCGATCGCCACAGCATGTGTTAATGTGCCTTCTCTAATTGAGCTTTTTGTCTAATTCCTGTGATTTTAAAGCCCTTTTTCCGACAGCTTTGCTTGAACCCTTCAATTTGAATACGACATTTCTCTACTGGACACAAATAATTAAATATTAAAACGTTCAGCCTAATGAAACGTCAATGGAGTCGAAACGGGCGACCGTTTTTGATGTTAGACGATTATATGGTGAATTTTGGTCATGGAATATATTGCTTGGAAATAGAAAGGATTATTTGGAACTAGTTTCAAATGAAATAACTTAAGGACTTATGATATATTTTTTTAAATTCAAATTATAACATAACTAATGTAAGGGTTTGAAATTTTATTAACAATTGAAGCTTTATATATAATGTTGTTGAGTTCTCCTAACTATTAAAATTTCCAACAAGGTAGTATTTTTCAAATACTACCGTGCAAAAGATTTAAAGAATTTGCGAAATACACCAAAGGTATGATGATTGATATATTTCAAGGTGATGGTTGGTTACAGATCTTTTGCCTTCTACTTTAAAATAGCATCATTAAAATACTTTTATTTTGCTTGTTTTTGAGATATTGATGTCAATCCTATTTGCTATGAAATATTTTGTCATCAAAAAAACCTTCAAATCCTTTACTCCTAATTCGAAAAGTTTTTATCTAATGGTTTTATGGTAACAGGATTTATAAAATCATTAATTGCTCGGATATCTTTATTACTGCAACTTTAACAATGGCAGTGTATATTTTTTTGCTCGAATCGTGTCAATTATATTCGTTTCTATCGCTTCGATTTTATTTTATATCAGTTTTAGAGCTAAACTTTCTAGAATAGCTTTATTGTTGCGATATTTTACGATCGGTTATTCCCTATTCGAACTGATGTGTTTATAATAAATCTGCAGAAGTGTTTATTGGTGTCTTAATTTTGCATATAAATTTTATAATATTTTATATAGACTATATAAGAGATTTATTTGATAGCTTATATTGTGTCTGCTTTGAAATTTGTAACTATCGTGAAGTAAACGTTGAATTATATATTTAACCTTAATTCATTAATTAATTTCACTCCTAGATTGATATTCTTATCAGATCCTTATCTATTATATAAAAATAAGTCGGGTTTTCCTTCCTGACGATATAACTCTAGAACGCACGAACCGATTTCGACGATTTTGCATTCGTTGGAAAGGTCTCGGACTCCGTGAGGTTTATAGCACACTTTTTCTTTTTTCACATACAGCGTCATCTTTGATACTTAGCATTTACTACAAACTAATATTTTTTGTTTGGCAGCTACTCATTGTTCTCTGCTCAGTTAATTTCATGTGACAAACCTAGATAGTGTTCACTTTGAAATTGTGCAAAAAAAGTAAAAAAACTACTACTCAATCAATCAAAAAATCAATCACGTGTGTTGTGCAAATTTTTATTCAATTTCACCAGCAGGAAATTTTTTTCTTCATCTTTTAATCACCAAACGAAATGTTACATAAAATGAAACCATCTAGTGGTGAAACGGAGTTCGCCCGGTTTGCTAGTTGAATATAATTTTATATTCCAACAAAATCTTATAATTAATTTGTTATCTTTTTCCAGAATTCCATAAGGCACAACCTATCTCTCCACAACCGCTTCATGCGCGTCCAGAACGAAGGCACGGGGAAGTCCTCCTGGTGGATGATCAACCCTGATGCCAAACCTGGTAAATCTGTGAGACGTCGTGCAGCCTCAATGGAAACCTCCAAATTCGAGAAAAGACGAGGTAGGGTAAAGAAAAAGGTAGAAGCCATGAGAGTTGGCTCCGGAATGACGACAAGTATCACCGGAGATAATCATTCGAGTCCTGGAAGTTCAGTTTCGGAAGGATTGGATTTGTTCCCCGATTCACCGATACACAGGTAAGAAGATAGATATAATTCTTGTCTAATTGTTGCTCTTTTCTGATCATAGTTTATAAGTGCTTTGGGCAATGAGTACCTACTGATAATATTTTTTCACCATTGGTAGAAAAAATGTTATCTGGCTTCATTGGAACATTATGGAAAAAATATCTTAATATGGAATATACTATCTGGTACTATTACTTTTGCTTTTATTTTTTAAATAATTTTTGTTTATGAAAATTATACCAGGATTATTTTTTTATTTTCTTTATATGGAATATTTTTTGAAATTCACTTGCTTGGTTACTTACTTGTTTACTTATGTACCATTATTGATTAACCATGGACAAATTTTGCTTATTGAGACAAATTATGCTCTGATTAATTTATTTCATATTTAGCTATTTACTCTTTTAAACATAAATATATTTCTTCTTCATCCTGCTTACTTTTTCATAACATTATAGTCGCTTTTTATAATATTTCAGCATTTTTTAAATCTACTGTATCATTCTTAACCACTACTTTTCTACTGCTTGTCTTTACTATTTTTAAATTTAGTGCTTGCTCTCTTATAATATTTTATATAATTTGTTTATATCTATTTTTAATCCTTATAATCTTTAAATCTCAATTCAGGTTCACTCTAAACCATAGGTTTCCAAACTTTTTGTATTGTGGACCCCTTAGGTGTTGCCATTGACCTCCTTATTTAGTCGATATCGATTTTTTATACATTTCTTTACTACTAACATTAGTAACATATAAGTATTTAACATTTAAAATGAAAACACAATTTTAAGTTTAGACATTTTTTAATTCACAATATAAAATAGATATTATAAAAGTGTTTGGTTATCTACTAACATAGACCCCTTGAAAGTTATAACGGATCTCTGGGGGTCTTTATGAGTAGGTTTGGAAACCACTGCCTTAAACCTTTATCGAATATTTTATTATGAATTTCAAAATGCATGAAGTATGAATGGTGTCTTCATTTTTTATATTAATTGTATTTTATAATGTTTTGTTTTTGTACATTTTTCCGATATTTTATCTCTTTGTTTTGGCATGTGCTCTATGGAAAAAGGAATATTAAATTATAATATCATTATACTATATTTTGATTTTAGTTTCATCAAAACTACATATAGGGGCATTTCCTTTATTTTATTATGATTTCAAAATATTCTATTCTTATTTGTGTGATAATGATGTTATAATTTCCACAATTCCTAATTAAAATCATCAAATGCTATTTTGATTTCAATTAATAATTACTTCTTTCACAATATGACTTCTTTGACCCAAGCAAAATCTAAACATAGAAGTGATTTCATACTTTATATTTCGGATTATTTCCAGAAATCGATTTTAATATCTACTAAAATTATTTCATTATCTAGTTTTATCAATTCATTCGTAATATTGCAAAATCGTCCACATCCCTAGGACGGTTCCTTCATTTGAGAAATATAATATTTATTAGAAATATTTCACAGAAATATGTAACACAACATTACATAATCATAATAAAAAATATATTGCAAAATTGCTGGTAATTAACTACAAAAGTTCAACTTACAGCAAATTAACAAAGTGATCTATCTGTATACAAGTAACAGTTATTATATAAATAATTCGAAAAAAAAAACTTTAGTTTACGCGGTAGGACACTGACGCAATGCAATAATGGAAGCTTGTTCGAATGAACATACCTAATCTTTCTCTCAATTGCCCATTCAATTCGTATTCTCTTTCACCAAAGTACCAATCTATTACAAAAATCCCTTGAAAAAGTAACATATTTCAACAATTCTTCAGTGAAGACATATCTTTCTCCAATCGGTCTCAATTAACGAACGGCCACGGTTCAGTAACTCAATATGATTTACTGTCCGTAATGGCTTACAATTATGTAATCTGTTACTGCTAAAGTATTTATGACATTCGCATGCTATTAAATCGTTAACTATCGGAATTCATTGAACGAGTGTGACTGTGCATGTTTAAGTGGTATTTTATTAGATAGCCAGTTTCTAAGGTCCTGTATTAGAATTTATTGGTAATTTATCACAAGTTAGCAATAAGTTGTAAAAAAATTGGCATGGTAGTAGTTTAATTGGTTTTCACATTTATCTGCATTTGTGCTTCTAGATTGATCATTCTTACAGCTTTCAGCATTTTATTCTTACAGCTTTCAGCATTTTACCTATCTTCCACATTTTAAAATAATGCAACTTTCTCCTTCATAATATTAAGTATGCTTTCTAGTCATATATATTAACAAAACTTGTTTCTGACAAAAAATACAGGAAATCTTTGTATGAATTGGTAGTAAGAACTGTCAAAAAGCTATATATTTGCACTGCCATTAGGCGCTTCTTCTAGCATTTTTCTAATCCACATATTTCAGACCTCTTCAACTCTTCCTGATTAACATCTTCCAGCCTGTTTGTTTCCACATTTCATTTATCTACAATTTTTCCTGGTCAAGATCTTCCAGGATTCTTCTGTTTCATCATTTCATACATCTTTAACTTTTCCTGGTTAAGATCTTCTGGCATTCTCCTATTTCATCAGTTCATATATCTTTAACCTTTCCTGGTTGAAATCTTCTAATCTTTTTATTTAACATTTTATATATCTTTAACTTTTTCTGGTTAAGATCGATCTACCAGCATTCTCCTATTTTTACATTTCATATATCATTAAATTCTCCTGGTTAAGATCTTCTATCCTTCTCCTGTTTCAACTTTTCCTGACCAAGATCTTCTAGTCCTCTCTTTTTTTAACATTTTATATATCTTTAGCTTTTCCTGCTTAAGATCTGCTAGCCTTCTTCTATTTCAACATTCTATCCTGGTTAAGATCTTCTGGTCTTCTCCTATCTCAACATTTCATATATTTCTTACCTTTCCTGCTTAAGATCTTCAAGTTTTCTTCTATTTTACGCTACCTTATCATTTTATTCAATTTTTTTCTAAAAATCAATCACCAAACCAAAACAGCTCCGCCGGATTCCAACTATCCCCGGACTTCAGACAAAGAGCATCATCAAACGCCTCGTCTTGCGGCCGATTATCTCCTATTCCGTCCCTGCACGGAGCAGAGCCAGATTGGACGACATCTGGAAGTGCTGGATATAATCCTCCAAACGATTATCAACCACAACAACAACCTGCCTTGGATCAATTGGCAGGAAATTTAGCTGAATCGATGAAACTACAAAATGTAGGAGATTATATGCAAGGGTGCGTTAAGAAATAAATAATTATGGATCTAATGAGTGTAAGAATATTGTAATTGAATAGTTAGAAAAATCGGTAGTTGATATAAGATAATCTAACACATCACCAAAAGACACCTAACAATTTCTAGAAGATTTACCCTAGTATTCATTTCGTGTCCAATTTGCAACAATATGAGAATAGACAAATTCTGTTTATTAATATATGGTTATATTTCGATATTGTTCTATTAGAATCAAATTCTAGAAATTAATTTACTAATTGTGAAAGTGATTGATATATTAATCAGTATATTATTCTCCTACTCTTTTGATCCTTAATCAAATGAAAACTCATTTCTCTTTCAGGCACCCAACAAATTCACACATGGAAATTATATTTTTAACATAATTCTTTTAATAGAATTTTTTTATTAAATTTACATAAGTAGTTTTATTAAATTTTAAATATTTTACAAGTATTGTAGAGTTAAAATTGTAGTGAAGTAATTTGTAGTCGTAATCAATTTTTAAATATTTTTCAAATTATTTTTGCATGCGAATTCGCTTATTTTTATACACAAGTACTGTAAGTTTTTATAGTATTTAGTATTGTAAATATTCAACAACGTGTTTAGATTGATACAGTAAATTAATAAAATCCCAAATTATAAAATTATAACATCTGTGACATTGATTTGCATATTTTGGTATTTATACTCAATTTTTTTCTTTAGATTTGTAAATTCAGGAAATCAGCATATTCCACCTCCGCCATATCAACAACCATATGGGACATCACCTTATGGCTTGCCACAATGTCCATTGCACAGAATACAAAATTGCGGTTGCATGCACTCTTGTGATCCTAGAGAAGTAAGTAAATTTAACTTTGAGTTAAATACATCACTCACAAATTCCTTACCAAAAAGCTACTACGACTGCCTATAAACTTTCCTAACCAAGTATGTTTTTATCTTCTAGAGTCTATCACCATCATCTTGCCCTGGTATGTCACCGTCTTACCCTCAATCTGAGCCATCTCCGGATCCCATGGGTGGTGCACAGTATCTTTCCACAGGTGGAGAATGTTCTCCATCCCAGGGTAATTCTTCCCCTCCAAGTTCTCAAACCTCAACACTTCTGCTGAGGAGGAATGGGACAATCCTGGAACAGCAAAACCAAGCACCGAGCACAATGATGGGACAGTTGATGGGAGCTTTGAATAATAGTGCACTTTTGGATGATTTGAATATTAATATTGAGTCTATTCCTGGAGGCTTCGACTGCAACGTTGATGAGGTAATAATTGATAATTAATAATTGATTGATAAAACCGTAACTTTGTTCAGTTCCATGTGAGTATTTTTTGGTAATTATATATTTTTTATATCTTTTAGTTAATCAAGCACGAACTGAGTATGGACGGTTCTCTCGATTTCAACTTCCAATCCCAAGCTGCTGCAGCAGCCGCCATGGCCGCTCACCATCAGCAACAACAGCAACATAATCACCACCAATTAGGTGGCAATCATCTACAACACTTGCACCATCAACATCTACATCACCATGCTGGCGGTTCCGTACAATTGGCGTCGGGGACTGGTCTTGGCGGTAGTGATAGTTCGAGGACATTAGGCGATGGTGGTGTCAATGGAAATGGTGCAAGGGGTGTGGCGGTGTCCAGTCAATCTGCTCAATATTCGGCGAGTGTGACACCACCGTCTTGGGTGCACTAGCGCCGCGGGCGCCGTCCTGACGGCGCTTACAGGTAATAATTGATAATTGATAATTTTAAAAAAATACTCTTACATATCATAGTAATAACAAGTAGTTAACGTTTACTACTAGTATTTCTACTGCTTTTAACATTAGTAGTAGAATGTATTTATAATGGTCATAGTAGCAACCACTTGATGTAGGCGACTCAATATTCGAAAGAAACTCGATGGTTTATATCAGGTTCTCGAAAATGTATGATTACTAAATCTGTCTTTATATAGAATAAGGTAAATATTGCCACGTCACATTGAAATTCACAATTTTGTGACTATTCCTATGTTTGTTTGCTCCTGAGTAATCAAGAACAATAGAAGCTTCGCAAATCTTCTGCTATTTTTTTATATTGCATCAACTATGTCAGAATCTACCAAGTGATTCCATTTTCTATGCACAACCGTTAATTTATTAATTCGCAAATCTATGCCCCTATATTTATGTACTTTTGTTCCTGAAGTGAAACCGTTTTATAACGGCGACTCGAAAAATGCCATCAATTAATAATTCGTGATCGGTTCGAAGGAACTTGTTCACAAAGTTGCCTACGCTTGTTTTTCACGAATTCGACAAAGTCGTCCAAGATCATCGAAGAGTGAAATTTGAATAATGGAGTCCACCAAGCAGTTTGCTGAAAAGTTTTTTCGCACCGACAAATTATTAATGTGTTTTAGCCGTTCAACTTATCGGTTCCAAGGCAAAAAAATTATTTCGAGGGCAGGCGATCGTATGGTCGCGCGATTGGTTTTTCGTCATATATAATTGAATATTTGCAATCGAAGTTTTGGGCTGAAGTTAATTAATTTGTTCTTTGGTGGGGAAAAAAACAAAATATTCCTTTAGGTACTTTCTAAGTAAATTTTGGGGATTGTTAGATCGCTGTGGTATAATTCAATGAAAGGTTTGTATTGCTTGTTATTTTAATTATTTTACAATAAATATTGTTTGAAAATTACCTGTACCAGATTGAAAATGTCCTTTTAAAATAAGCAAGTTAACAGTAAATAATCTTTTCTGTGTCCTATGGGTTAGACATATCTTCGACCATGGAACTTCTTCTAGTTCGATACTCGGATGGGTCTGGGACAAACTGGTGACAAGCAGTAGCCGGTCATTATTTGGAAATATAGATAACAATATGCTTCTAAGTGAAGCCTTTAATAGCATTTTTACATCGATGAAAAATTTATTAGGGTTACTGATATTGCAATAAGAAATTTATAACAAAGATATATGATAACCTTTTGGTTTGCTATTTATATATGAAATGAATTTGAATTTAGAATTTTTATTGGTGATTTGTGTGACCCTCCAATATTCAATTCAATCAATATTTTGCCAATATAGGGCTGTAAGTTATGTTTAGGAAACACTCGATTAGAGCATCGATAAATCGATATATAGAATTTCAATACTAAAAAGCTTTTTATTAGTGATTGATTAGAAAACACATTAAGCTTCTTCATTAGTGATTGGTTCAATCATGATTTCATTACAATTTCATTGTAATATTTTAAAGAGCTGACAATTTTAATTATCTTCACTAATATAATGAATTTACGTTTATTTTTTGTATTTGTAATTTGTAATCCATCCGCGTATGCCCAATTTGGTGTCCCACAAATAAGACGCATTCAAAATCATTTTCTACCCTGTTTTAAAACGAATAACGAGTGAAAAATTCCGCAGACATTTATTAACCGCATTTACTGCTCAGAGTCGCGAATTCTATTAAATATGGCTTGAGAAAGAACTCAAGTGTTGAAACTTTTTGCATAATTGCGCAGAATAATGTGCCATTTTCCACCGCGGCCCCATCGCCCCTCTCCTTGGAGGAAAAGGAAAAGCACGCGTGCTCTTGGAGAGAGAAGTCGGAAAATGTCGTTTTGTAAAATTACATATTTTCTTAAAACAATTACTGTCAACATTTGTCGACAGGAAGTTCGAGCTTTTTCTTTGTAGTGAGGGATGATTTAAATGCACGACTTGATTTTGACGACTTATAGGGATGGATTTGCATTCATTAAAATCATTCAATTATAGAATACATACCCACAAATACACACACCCAAATATATATATTAGGGTGGTCCTTAAAAAGGTTATTTTCGAATTTCCTTGCTCCCAGGGGCTCAAATGGTTCCAAATAGATAAAAAACAATTCTCTGAAAGTTTTAGCTCTTAATATTAACGTTTAGATAGAGCGCAATTCAATCAAAGTTTGTATGGAAAGAGCATGGAAAAAATTTTGAAAATTAAAAAAAAATGTTTTAGGTGTAACTTAGCGACAAATAAATGAGTTTTATTCATTCATTTGTTTGCTAAATTACATCTAAAAAACATTTTTAAAATTTTTGAAAACTTTTCCATGCTCTTTCCATACAAACTTTGATTGAATTGCGCTCTATCTAAACGTTAATATTAAGAGCTAAAACTTTCAGAGAATTGTTTTTTATCTATTTTGAACTATTTGAGCCCCTGGGAGCAAGGAAATTCGAAAATGACCATTTTAAGGACCACCCTAATATATATATATATATATATATATATATATATATATATATATATATTAGGTTGGTCCTTAATATGAATATTTTTTAATTTTATCTTCTAATTTTAACTTATACCAATGCTAAATAAACTCATTATTCATTGTTTGTCAGAGCTCATTGTTTTGCAAAAAATGAAATTATCCCTTATAAAATTTTTTTTTATCTTAATCTACTTTTTTATTATTTTATATTTTTTATACCTTTGCTAGTGTAAATGCATAGTTGGTCTTTTTTACCCTACCCAAATGTAAGCTTTTACATAGGTTATATGAAAAAATCTGTTTGATATAACTTAAAAATAACAATACTTATAAAATAATTAAAAACACGTATAAAAGAGCTCAAAACTAAAATCTACCGACGAGACAAAATACTTTTGTTATGAATATTTATACATGACCATTTATCTTCTGATAGTGTCGTCGTAAGAGTTAGGGTGATAGCTCATCTTTTGCCTTCATCTTTAAAATAGTGTCGTTAAAATATTCTATACTTCAATTATTTTTGTGATATTGGTGGTGGACCTAGACAGAAATCTATATTTCAGCCATGATGTTAAAAGAATTTATTGGATGCAGAAAATCCACCCCTGTCTTATTCTTTCTGCAATCTTATTCCCACTTAATCAAATATGGTAATCATAAGGTAAACTCTATTTGTTTTATCATTCTTCCATTTCTGGATTATAAACTTCCAGTTCCTGGCTCATTTGATCATTTGATTATCGAAGTAACTCATTTGAATAATTACGTAAAAACAGAAGATGTTAAAAGTTACTTTTTAAGTTCATTTCGAATTTAATAACCGTGAAGATTTAATTTTTTGCCAAACTTTTCAAGACACTGGGATTAACTGAGAAGTTAATTCAATGGGGAAATGAAATATGGTTTTATAGTTTGAATGAAGTAAACTTGATAGATACTTAAATAAATAAATTATAAATAATAAATATATCTGTATATGTATTAGGTTGCAAACTAAGTAAGTGCGGTTTTCAGCTTAGATGATTTTAGCTGAATATTTAGGTTTGCTGACGTTGTCCAATATATAAAATACATCTTGTAATGAATAGTTGGCAGTTTAGTTGTCCATCTATAAAAAAAAGTTTTTTGATCCTTTGCGTTCGGCATTCATTGAAAGTTGGATAATCAAATTGAAAAAGTGGCAGTGTCAAAATTAGATGATTAGATGAATTGTAGATGTTCTTCTTGTTCTTCATCTGGTCGTCCAAATGAAGTTGATCACAAAGGATTTGTCTACTTTGAACTGTTATTACCAACCAACTGATCGATTCTGACATATAAAACTATAAAGTCCTGACCTTGTACCTTTTTGTTTCGATCTCTCTAAAACTCCTTGAATGGTGAACAATTCAATGATTATGATGGTGTCAAATTGTATTTGATTCAGTTTTTAAATCTTAAATTATTGGATCTTGGTTGGAATGATTTGTCACGTCCACCATAAAGTCTTGATTTGGTATCTTCTGATCTGACCTTGTACTTTCTTCTTGAATGGTGAACAATTCAATGATTATGATGGTATTAAAGTGTATTTGATTCTGTTTTCAAATCTCAAATTAGAGGAGCTTGGTTGTAATGTTTTGATGCATCCACCATACAGTCCTGAGCTGGTACCTTTTAAATCACCATACAGACTTGACATTGTACCTTTTTGTTTGGATCTTTCACAAAACTCTTTGTATGGCAAACAATTCAATGATTTTGATAGTATCAAATTATACTTGATTCAGGTTCTCAACCAAATGGTTGGAATGTTTTGTCACATCCACCATACAGTCCTGACCTGGTACTTTCTGATCCACAATACCTTGTGCCTTTTTGTTTCGATCTTTACAAAATTCCTTGAATGGTAAATAATTCAAAAATTATGATGGTGTCAAATTTTACCTGATTCAATTTTTTGCTAATAAAAACCATATAAAAGTGAGAAAATGATGCTGTTTGAATGATAAAAGAATGGATGATACATATACAAATGCCTTATTTTATAACTAAAATCTGCATTTACTAAGTTGTCAACTATATATGTTTGGGGGTATCAATTTTCAATTTTTTAATTTTTTTTTTTGCAGATTTTGGACAATGTGCGAACGAATACCAGCCATTATGGAGGAGTGAAATCGCCGAAGCTCAATCACCCAAAAAAACGTAAGAACTATAAAAAATCTTACTATAAAATTAAATTCTAGCTTTTTCACTATCGTGATGATTACCACCAAAATGATCTCAACTCCTTTCGTTCATGCAAATATTCTGAATATGTGTTAAATATATTTCTGTTGGATAGATATAAAAAATAGATATATCTCGGATGTCTAGTGCTAAGAATAAGAAACTTTGCTTTTTTATAATTCATGTTTTTATTCGGTTCTCAAAAAATTCTCATACTAACTATATACTAATTTTAAGAAATGATTTTGTGGAACTGGTAAAAACATGTGGAAAGTGCAAGCAATTGTATACATACATACATATAAATATATGTATATGTATATATGTATATATACATGTTAATAGCATATATCTATGTGGCTGAATCTACCTCGTAGTTCAGGTAAAGATAATTCTATATAATTTGACAAATTTAGCGCCTCGATTAGGACAGTTAATATATTTTGCATTTTTGCCACAATATAGATAATTAATTAAATTAGTATGTACAGGATATTTCTTTTATGCCAATTACATACAAAGCTTTTTATTTAATAAAAATTATTTTTAAAATTTGTGATTGCGTTTATACGAAATTGATCTTGCAAGCAAAGAATTTTTTATCAACTTATTTATTGGGTGAAAAGTTTTTCACTGGATTTTGATTACATATTATGCTATTTGTCGCTAGAAATAATAAAGCCTTTAAATATTGAAGTGATTAGAATAAAAAGGTTTCATTCTATTTATAATTGAGGAATGTTTAAACAAAAAACAACCGTGTAATTGCATGAATGCCTTGCCTTGTAAATATAAATAAATGGTTATATTTTTTAATCTTTGAGTAACATAATTTTACATCGGCTATAAGATTCCGCGTATTTAATATTTGTATAAATAAAATCATTAAATGAAATATATATATTTGTATGCGTGTTGTAAATATGTCTAAGCTTTAAATAATTATTCTCATTTTTGAATATTTAGCAAATTTTTAGACATATAATGTCTTCTTCACGCGTAAATTTAGTTTGATATTCTGATAATGTTCAAGGGAGTGCTTGGACGATTTTTAGATTTAGAAAAATGCTCATGAAAGCTAATTTCTGGCTATGAATTAAATAATAGATCATTATAAAGAACTAAGTAATTTAGAGATTGCAGAGTGACATCATTAATGCAAGTAAATTAGCTAAATAATAAATTTTTTTACATCTCATTATTAATAAGTTGGATTTTGTTCCTGATTCGTAATTCCTGATTCGTTCCTGATTCGTAATTTTATACTTGTGGACACTGCGGGCTTTAATTATTTAAACAATAATAATTAATATAAAAAATAACCATTACTTCATTTTTTTAAATGTAAATTATTTAACCCTTTCCACTCGGATGCCGCCGCTCCGAAAACTTTTTGCCGTGCTTTGAAGACTTCAGTAAAATTTGAAAAAAAAAAATCAATAAATTTGCTTTTATTAATTATTATTGATTATTATAATATTTTTCGATTCATTTATTTATATAGTACAATTGTTTCTTAAAAATCCATTAATAATTATTCTGAGCAAAAACAGAAATAATTTTTAATTTATGTAATAAAAAAACTATTTGACGCACTTTTTGAAAAATGAAGGTTTTAGTGCAAAAAAGAAGGTGCAAAATTTATAAATTATTATTTAAAAAAAATATTTTAAAGACTTCAGCTTTATTTAAAACAATTAATTAGCCTTTACCAATTGAAATTAATTTATAAAATTTTTAATACAAGCGTTTGTTAAAAATCTATTAATAATTGTTATGAACAAATCCAGTTATAATTATTAATTTATTAAAAACAAAAAAAAATGACGCAATTGTATAAATTTTTTTCAAATCAAGGTTTTAGCGATTGAAAGCTTTGCAAAATTTTATTAAATATTTATATGACTTCCTAATCAACAATTATTATTATAAAAAATATATTAATATTTGAACCAACTGTGAACGTCTTTTTTTCAAAAACTATTTATCATCATTAGTAAATTAAGTAGACAAATTTTTGTCGAATTTCATTAAGATTTATAAAAAAAATTTAAGCCCGGAATTTATTAGTTAACTTAAAACTTTTAAGTTAAAAGATACATCTAAAATTGCGGGTTTACATGCCAGAAAAAACAGGCCCAGAAATTGTTTTATAAAAAAATCCACATCAAGCACAATATCATCCAAATATACGTAATTAAAAGCATTAATAATGTACGAAAGTCAAATTATTTTATTAATTAGCTAGACATATTTTATAGTCAAAGTCGATAGTGTGTATGTTTCAATATGATTGTTTTTATGCGGAAATTTGTTTACCATTAGTAGTTAAATTTTATAGTTAAATTTATTAATAGTCGTTTTGTTTTAGTTATTCTAGATAATGTATAAATTAGTAGTATAGATCGGTTAATTTCTAATATAAATATATATAATATATTGTCTCATAGTTTGATATATAATAGAATTTTAAGTGAGGGGTACATGAAATATTTATGGCGATTAGCTGGAAGTTTGTAGATTGAGGATATCATTTGCTGAATACAGATTTGTTTGAATTAGTAATAGTAATTTAGAAAATTATGAAAAATTTTATTGATCCAACTTTGTTTGTTCTATTATACGAAAACGTACTCAAGTTGTAAAAATCATTTGTTCTTCATTTCACTTTTTGTACCTAAATTATATAAAAATTTACAATCGTTGCAATACTTGTAATGACTGCAGTTTTGCAATTTTGTTTATTTTGCACTCCAATCATGGTTTTAAAGTTCAGCATTTTTTTATAAATTTTGACGGTACACAAATCATATTTGTCAAGTTTATACAAATCTGAATAAGTTATATACTGAAGTCAAATTATCTAAGAATGAAATTTATTCGTGAAATAGACACAACCAGGTTTTAAAATAAATAATAGCTTAATTTATTTCCAATATATATTTTATTCGATTTTTATTACCCAATAGTTCGTTAAACACTTTGCTGTTTTTCAAAATTTTAGGAGTTGGGCGTCTTATGCAAAATTTTATTAAAAGTTTATACAACTTTGAAATTAATAAATTGTGATGATTTAAAAAAAAATAACGATAATTGATGCTCTTGTTTGGAATATATTTTTTTCCAAAAATTTGGTTATATATAAAAAAATTGATAACTTTATGGATACTGAAATAATTAAAGGTTCAATTCTCCGGTAAAATAGACCGTTGCCATTAGGATATTTTTTTTTATTTTTTTTCTGATATAAATTGTAGAGCAATATACGAATATTAAAAATCGCGCTTAAATGTTCAAAGTCGTTGCTAAAAATCAAAATAAATTAATCAATAGCCAATAACCATTAAAAATACCTACTAAAGAGCTTATTAAATATAGAAAAAATAAATGTGATATACGTATAAAAACGGGAAAGGCACTAAGAAAAATATTCAGATTTATTGGAAACCACTATTTATAATTTATTTCTAATAAACAATATTTTAGAATAACTAACTAAATTGTGACGTCATTAGGTGAAGAATTTTATATATAAAATTTTAATTATATTTTACAAACAGAATTTTATATTTAAATATTCAGATTTATTGGAAACCACTATTTATAATTTATTTCTAATAAACAATATTTTAGAATAACTAACTAAATTGTGACGTCATTAGGTGAAGAATTTTATATATAAAATTTAATATATTTTACAAACAGAATTTTATATTTATTACCAATGGTTCCAAACTCGGTTGGTAGTATTTTACCTTTTTAAATTTCTAGCGCTTTTCTCTGTTAGAAAAACTAGAAAATTAATGGAAAATCGTGTACATATTGACAATTAGACTGCCGTGATTTTTTATTTCTGTAAACTTAATTTCATCACCTATAAAAATTATATAATGAAGCGATAAATGATAAAAATTATACCTAAATTATATAGGTAATTTTTATTATACATTGCATATATCGTTCATTATATATAATTTTAGTGATTTTTTATGTGAAAATGTGTTTACAGAAAATATTTTTTTCGGCTTAAGAGCAATTATTTAATAAGTAAACAATAAATGTTAGAAGTAATCAACGTCCTTATGCGTACAAACTCAGGTGTTTTATAACGGTGAGAATACGTGAATGGAAATCATTATATATATATATATATATATATATATATATATATAGAATGTATATATAATATTCTGGATTCTAATATTAAATATAGTTCCAATTTTGCCAAGTAAAAGCCTCCATATTTTTTGAAAAATATTTGTTAAAACTTACATTTATACAAATTTAGTCTAGCAAAACTGTATTAAAATTTAGAACATAAAAAAATTCACAAGGGAAAGTGGAGACCCTTTGTTCACTTGTGTTGCGTAATATCAACGTTTCTGTTACGTTATGGGATGTTTCGTAATATCAACGTCTCTGTTACGTTCTGTGTACGTTACGTATTTCTGTTTCTGTTACGTATATATTATTATTATTATTATTATTATTATATATATATATATATATATATACATGTATATATATATATATATATATATATATATATATATGATTTCCAATATCTCGCAGTTTGTTTTAGCTTTGTAATGCCATTAAGCTTTAAATAATAAAATGTTCACACAATTTATACTAGATGTTCATATATGGATATAACATGAATGTATAAATATGAAATTACATATATGTATATATTTATAAATCAATGTAATTACATAAACGTTAAAACATTAAACACATTTCTCTACACGTGCAATTTGCTTAAAAAAGTGTTCAATAAGGATGAAGTTTGTATGTTAGAATTAATATTAAGTATAATATATATATATATATATATATATATATATATATATATATAATTTATGATTTGTAAATATATGATAAATTTCTGTATATTTATTATTATGGATAATTGTTAGGTTGAAATATTTTTACAGTTAGGAGAATATTGTTTCAATAAGTTGTGTACTATAGAACCTCCGATGTAAAGCTATATATATAGATATATTATATAAGAAATGATAAATTATATGGTTAAT